TTTTTGTTTGTCTATCTACTACTTTCTTGGATTTCCGCTTAGAAAGTGGAATTCTCTTTCCCTTGTTTGGAATTGAAGTCCCAACTCCCAAGGAAAGCGAGGGACAATTATTGCAGACCCCAACTTGCCTGCAATTATTGACCCTGAAAAGGCCAACCAGAAAAGATACACAAAATGCAATCTCTCATCTTTTTGGGCTTTTGCATATAATTTCTTGATTTTTTTTCTTGATCATAAATTTTTTTATTTCAAACCAATGAAATTGTCGTCCTTTTACTTGGAAGGTCCCATTTGCATTCATTTGGGTGGTTAAGGCATTCATGTGGGTGGTTAAGGCATTCATTTGGGTGGTTAAGGCATCTTTTGTTTTCCAAAGAGCACGATAATAAAGAAGAACTGTAGTTTTATTAGGGAATTGTAAAATAAAAATTAATGTCATTGTCATTGTAGATGAGCCGTGCCAGAGTTATTTTCTCTAGTTCGCCCATTTTAATTATGGGTATAACAAAGTCTTTTTTGAGATTGCCTCTATTTTTTAGCAACCTCTGAAGAATAGCATCTTTATCTTAATCTCAACCCCACACCTTATCTTCAAGAAGAGAAGACTCAAGTAGTTTTTTTTACAGCCACTTTGCGAGACTTATCTTCAAGTTTTAAAGCCAAATTGGTCAGGTTTAAACTTCGCATCACATTATCAATTTTTTGCAATCTACCACTCAGATCCTTCACCAAGGAATTAATCTCTTGATTGGGTTTAGCCTTATTAGAGGTAAAAAAATTCTTGACACTGGAGGTGATTCTTTGTCGCTTGCTAGGTCTTTCTTTAGATTTTGCAATCAATTTAGACCTCTTGGCATCAATCACAAACTCTTCAAGTATGTCCTCCATATCATAAGCCAAGTCCCTGAGATCATTAAGATATAACTTCACGAACTCATTGGCAATTGGATTTTCTTCTGCATGTTGAAGTATAGTATAGCTATGATTTTGGGCAATAGAGTCTTCTAGCTTTCCATCTAGGCACGTACTTCATCATTTGAATTCCATAGTTGATCACTCACATAAACTTCCAACTTTTGGAATAGCCAGTCAAATGTAGCAGATAAAAAATATTCTCCAACAAGTTTTCTGAACTCCATTGGATAAAACAACTTTTCTGCAAAAAGAGAGGGGAACATATTGTAAGTACAAAGTGGACTCATCTATTGAATACCATGCATACCATATGTAGTTTGGTTTAGATCTTCAAAGTATCGAAGAAGTAAAGATATTAATTTGAAAGTAGTATATATATACATACCCTAATTAGCTAGATTTTAGCTGCTTTTCCTTTCTTAGCGATCGATGCTCAAAGCTAAAATGTCGTTGGTTTTGCGGAGAGACTAATTAATTAACCTTAACTTGATGGAATATCCAAGAATTTTTAGTATATAAACATTGGGTTAACAGAGACAATTAAAACAACAACGAGGAAAGAAAATGTAATCATCATTATATTAGTTAAAAATTGATCTTAGTTAGGAATAATTAAATACTTAAATGAATTAAAAGACAGTTAATAATTAAAATGTTTTTAAATAAATATATATTTAAACGGTATCAATTTACCTAATGTTGTCTCTCTTATTTGTTTAATATACTACTGTATGTAGTGATTATCTAAGGTAAAAATTGTTGAGAGGAAAATCTCACGTCTAAAGAATACAATGAAAAAAAATGTGGGTTAAATATATAATGATTATCTTTTTTATTATAAATTAATTTTATATTAAACATAAGTTTTATATTGAAATTTGCATAT